AACGTTTAAAACATTTCGCACTTCCACATACTATGGTTTCCGAACTCTTCTTTTAACATCAGCCTTGAGAACAGACATGGAAACAGAAGCACAGTTCGTGAGTGTCTGGGCAGTTCTCCTCCGTGGACATAAGCCAGCAGCAGATGTGTGTAAAGCAAAGTAGTGATTTCAGATCATCGGCATTAGAGGTTTGTAAAAATCTACCATTCTCCAGCTTTGTTTTTTGTTTCCTATAAAGACAAAATACAAGTAATAGCATGACAGACTTGGCTCGGACCCTTACCAGCAATGAAAAAGGATGTCTTTCCCCATTTTCTGTTAAGCTGTCACTCATGTAGCCTCAGGATTTAAACAACTCTCGCTGCAGTCCTTGCTGCACTCCCTCTGCTCATGAATAGGATGTGTTTCATCAGCACTTTCCTTGTCTGACATTCCCTGATAGAAATTATGATGCGATCCCGGGAGAGGATTTATCCTGGAGGTCAAGGGAGGAGGGTTGACGCTACCAATACACTTCTGCAGAGGTGCTGCCGTGGAAATGACCCCGAGTGGGGACTGTACATTTTCACAGATCCCCCCCAAAACAGAAAATGCACTTCCTTGGAAGTTTGGGTATTTAACTATTGTGATTTTTTTTAAAGGCAGAGTATATCAAGTCAGCTAACCTCCACACCACAGGTGCCACTAAGCCACCCCGGTGTCCACACTGGGAAGAGAGCTAGCTCTGGACCAGAGAGGAAGACCATGGCTAGGAAGACAGCAAACTGATGGCTTCTACCCAGGCTGCCTTGACTCCTGGGCTCCTTAGAAACTTAGCTTTCAAACCTCAAAGTCATGTCAAAAATAGCTTCAAACATTTGAATCAAATGCTCAAGATTGTCTCTTAACGACTCTAGCTTTACAAATTACTCCTCAGAGAAAAAAGCATAGTGGACAGCATTCTTTCCACTTGCCTATTGAACTTTCTGCTGGATTGAACTTTCCTGGATTATGATTTCGCAGGTTTTTAACACTGCACTCACAATGGAGTCGCCTTACCAGAGGTTAAAGTAACTGACGAGTCACTGGAGCCCTATGGTCCAACCACGTCTTAAAGTTCCGTATAGGAATTTGCTCAACTGTTTGTTTGTACACTAACTTAATCCTTCATTTAGCAAATATTGCATCTACTTATGTGCCAGGGACTGTGCCAGGCCCTGGAACACAAAGGTGGGCAAGACCAACATGGCCCCACTGGGGACAGCCTGCAGGCTGAAGTAAAAGCAGGCATTCCTTTTTGTCTTCCTGCAAGAGGAGGAAAGCTCCCTGTTCTGTAGTTAAGGAATAATAGATCCGCAAGTGAATTCTCACACCCCTGCATATAAAATCCAAGAGAGTAACAGCAACAACGGCTCCCTAAAATTCATCTGGGTACTTGGAATTCAGCGTATTGTTCACTTTAAAGAAAAGTGAGAAAGACCCTTCGGTTTTCAAACACCGATTTCAAAGAGGAGTGCCTTGTCCTCTTTGGAGAATCTGGAGAGCCCAGAATACCTCTGTTCTTGGTGGAGAATGTGCTAATGCCAAGGTCTGGGGAGTTCTTCATTTAATGAGATGTTTACAGTACCCAGCTGCCAGTAGGTTCCATGAACATTTATTGACTTCATCTCTGTTGATGTCTGTTTTTAACGAAAGAATCAAAACTCTTCAGACAGAAATGTTTAAGCAAATTTAGCTAAGAGCAACGGAACATTGAAAAATTCAATTTATATTTCTTAGCTAAATAGACAGCTATGTCAATTGCCTTCTTCTTATTCCTGGGAACTAGGGAATATTCAGCTAATGGTATCTCTTTCCCTAGGGAATGGGGGCTACAGTGAAGCTTCAGTCACCAACGGGGTAGGATGGAAATTCCTCCCAGGTTTCAGATTTTAAAGGCCATCTGTTAAGGCACAGTGAACTAAGACCTTACACTGTCCCAAATAATTGTTATAATGTCAGGAAAATTCTAACGCCACAGTGAATGAATTAACACCGACCATGTTGACGCCAGCTCCTGTCAAAATGCGCTGCATCAGAGCACTCATAAATATGTATACGGAAGTTCGGGCAGGTTTAAAATTAGACCTGATCTTTTACACCATGTGAAGGTACTTCTGGTCATAAAGGAGAAAATGAAGTCTGTTCTGGCAAGAACTGTCAGCCCTCGAGAGAGGCCTCTCGCTGGCTGGTGTGGTAAGGGGACGCATGCTTGCCTCTCTCCCTCGTGACCCCTTCCTGAGCGCCCCACATCCACCAGGTCCGTGTGCAAGAAGATTTACCTTGTTGACAGAGGATGTACCCAGGCTCCCAATAGCTGAAACCCAAGCAGAGTGCTGGAAGAGCTTTCATCATGTATCACGGATGTCGAAAACTTGTCCCCACCCACTCCCCTCAAAGCAACAGAGCTTTCTCCAGGTTCCTAAATTTCCAAGGTCACAACAATCTCTGGATAAAAGCAACGCTACCTCAAACGCAGGGACTGAGCAGCTCATGGCCTAGGCCAGGCCAAGACCCCAGTGCAGGTTTTCAAAAGGCAGGAGCCTGTCGGACGGAGGGGCTGAGATCCTTGCCTTTGCAGAATTTGAATTATATACTCAGTAAAATAATAGAAAGAGCTTATATAACTCAACTAAGAAATAGTGAAGATTTTCTGTTCTTTAGAAAATCCTGTCATATTCTCATCTGATATTTCCTTCCCCAAAAGACAACCATGTTCTCAGATTTCAGAACCACATCCTCAGTTCCTCAGATTGAAACAAACATTCAAACTATTTCAATATTTTCCACAGCTTATAAAGACAAAGCATTTTGGCTGCTTGCATTGAAATTTTCTTGAAGATTTAAAGATGGTTGGCAGGTCAGAATGAATGAACAGCTTTCAGGTCTAAGTCCCCAAACGCTCACACTTTTTTTGACTCAAGCTGTTACCATGTAGAAAAATTAATCAATCTTTTAAAAATATATTATGAAGTATTATAGATATACAGAAAAGTTTGGATAATGTAACAAACACCTTTGAATTCACCATTCAGCATAAGAAATAAAACATGATCCCTACAGTTGAAGTTCCTGTATGCCCAGCCCAGCCCAACCCCAGATTGCTATCCTGAATTTGATATCATTCCCATGCTTTTCTTATTTTGCTGTGGTTTTGTTTTGCATGTTTTAAAACTTCATATAAATGATATATATTATAGCATTCATCTGCGATTTGCTCTTTCCTCCTGACTTTATAATCATGAGATTTTATGTGGATCACACATATCATACATATCGTATAATTCACATGTGTACCACAGTTTACTTATTCGTTACAAAATACTGCTAAATTGTTCTATTAGGGGGTTATACTAATTTTAACATCCACTATCAATATATAAAAGAGTTCTTGTTTCATATCTCTGACAAAGCTTGGTATCATCAGAGTAGAATTTTTGCAATCTGATGGGTGAAGGGGCATCTTGGTGAAGTTTTAGTTTGCATTTCTGATTAGTAGTGATATTAAGCATATTTATTGGACAGTTTTCAACTCTTTGAATAATGTATATCTTTTGACTATTTTTCTGTTGGGAGGTTCTTGGGGGTTTTTTTGTTTTGTTTTGTTTTCTCATTACCATGTAGCAGGAGTTCTTTATGTGTTCTGAATGCTAAACCTTTCCTCTGTTATATGCATTGCAAATATCTTCCCTTAGTCTGATATGTCTTTGTACTTTGCTTATAGTGAATTTTGGAGCACAGATATTTGAGTTTTTATATAGTTAAACTGCATCAGTCTTTTACTTTTGGTTTGTCCAGATGTTCTCTAAGAAATACTTCCCTACCTCAAGATCATAAGGATATTTTCCAATATTTTCATCTAAAAGAACTAAGTTTTTCATTTCACATTTTTTTTTCCTTTTTTGTCTTTTTTTACTGACCGGTAACGGGATCGCAACCCTCAGTGTCGCGCCCGCACCGGGGACCGGCAACGGGATCGCAACCCTCGGTGTTGCGCCCGCACCGCGCTCAGCCAGTGAGCGGGAACCAGTCTCCACGTGGGATCCGAACCCTCGGTGGGAGCGCCGCCGCGCTCCCAAGCGGCGCACTCTCCAGTGCGCCACCGGGCCGGCCCTCATTTCACATTTAATTCTTCAAATCTTCCTGGGATTAATTTTTGTGTATTGGGGTATTGTGTATATGGGGTATTGATCCATTTTCTTCCATTTGGAAAACCAGTGGTCCCAGTACCATTTAACTAGTCCACCTCTTCCTCACTGGTCCTTCTATCAAGTATTGGGCTCTCTGCTTTGTTCCACTGGTCTATTTGTCTACCCCTGGATGAAAACCACCCCGTCTTTAATTACTATAGTTTTATAAAAGGTCCTGGCATCCAGTAAAGCAAGTTTCTCCACCTCATTCATCTTCAAAATTGTTTTGGCCATTTGGGGCCCAACATTAATCTTTATCCTTTCCTTGAGTTTGCCCTGGCCTAGTGTAAGCAAGATGTGAAATAAGAAGGGAGAAATCAAGCCACAACCAGCCCTGGATAAAGCAAAAGCTGAATATTTAACCTCTAATAACTAAGAAATTGCTGTGTTCTAATGAGTATAGAAAGCCCATATAAAATAAAGCATTTGTTTAAAAAAAAAAAACTATTTTTTAAAAACAAAAACTTTTCAGGGCTGCAGCAAGAGCCATTTAAAAGTAGAAACTAGAGATCATCCTCTGGTCCGTACCAATGTTCTTGCATTTATTTTTTAAAAATCTACTTTTAAATATATTTTGCATATAGATAGTCACAGAGAGTTTTATGAAACAGTGCTAAGACCACCCATTTGTTTCCTGGATCCCTCAGAACATCCATATCAAAGGTCAGACTGTCCTTAGGAGAATGCACTAATTCCATCACATTTCTCTCATTCAAGGGAGACTTTATTTCCCTGCAAAATGCTTTCAGTGACATTTCCATAACCTCATGATTACTACTTGCTGTTCTGCAGTGTCTTCAAATTCAGACCCTCTTATATGGACCACGGGACAAGAGGACGGTGGCTACACAGCAGACCATGGACATCCTGTCCAAGTGAGTTGGCTTTCCCTCACACTTTCTCATTCCTTTACCATTCAGAATCTCAAAGGAAGCTGCGTCTATAAAGTTCTGTGGAACTTTCCATGGAAAGTTCTACTAACTGACTTCCCATAACTTGCATAGTTAAATGCAAAAGCAGCTCCTTTGAAAACCCAGTTGTAAAAATATCTTCCTTGCCCAGATACTAAAAAGGAATTTATTCTTGAATGTCAGAAACACAGACTGGATTTCATCCCCCCACAGACCAGCTGCCTGCAGGTTAAGGCATCTGCTGGAGAGGAGGGCCTGAGCACTGGTTGGCCTTGGCTCGGGAGGCCGCTGACTTTACCTTCCAGGCTGGCCCTGCATCTTTTCTCAGCCCCTGAGCCGGAGGCCTGGCGCCTACCTGAGGGCCTGTGTCCACCAGAGCCCCAGGCTGACTGCCAAGTCCATGCTCAGGGAAGCAGGGCAGCAGCTTGGAGCAGACGGACAGGGTGGCGCCATCCTCTTTTAGGGCATGGAAAGTGAGCCACGGATGCCCCCGGCCCAACACTGACAGTCCTCTTTGCTCTGTCCTGCTCACTGGGCCACCTAAGGGTCGAATGCCCCAGCTGAGTGAGGGTGGTCGCAAGGAATTAAAAGACAGGACAAAACCATCGTGTGTTTTATGCTCTTGTGCCATGATTCTTTTAACATCCCCTCCTGAGGCTTCTCGTGAAACGTATCCCAACAACTGCTAGGCTCGCTGTGCAGCAACAAAGGGCGGGTGGAAACCATGCGGGGTCTGAGGGGCGCCACACTTACCCCCACCCTCTGCTTGTTCGCAGGTCCCCCAAGGTCGCCGTGAAGCCAATGCAGGCTCCGAAAGCCGAAGTGGCCTTCTGCACCAGTGTTCCTCAGCACAATGAGCTGGGGAAGGCCAGGTCCAACGCAGCAGACTGAGACCCCCGCCCCAAAGAAAGCTTTGGGCGGGCCACAGTTGTAAATGTTATTACAACTGCCATTTAGGGTGCTGTATACGTCTCTCTCCAACTAGAAAATGCAGTTCAGTAGTCAGCGTACAGATTTTCAAGACTGACTATTGAGTCCAACACAACAGCCATACCATAAACTTCCCAGGGGCCATAGAGGTGGGTGCCCTTCAGGGCAATCTGGAGCTTTTACAAGGCATTTTTTTTTATCACCCCAAGTGGTTTTTCTTACCAACAAGGATTTTTACCTGTCAGCACTACTATCGCTGAAAGACTTCTCTTCAAAAGTTCAAAACCTCCTGTGCAAGAAAGTAGACTTGGCATTTGATTGTACATGTAGCCCCCTGCACAGGTCTGAAGTCAACTTTGGAGTAATAAAATTCTGGAAAAAGCCTTCTTGTAGGAAGATAATAGGGGTTGAGAATAAAATGCTAATAAAAAGAAACTTGAAAGTGTTGGTGTCAGTATGTGTTTTTAAAGTGAAGCCTGCCTCAGTTCCTTGGAGCCTGAAAGGGGCCATGGAGATGGTTTCCCTTCATTTGTGAGCTCACTCTTTGAATTTGTTAAGCACCTAGTACGTACCAGGTGTGTGCTAAGAACAAGGGACACAACAGTTAACAAGATATACACAGTCCTCATGCTCTCAGAGCTTGCAGCCCAACGTGGCACTGGATGTTAAGCAGACGATGGCAGAATAGATGGATGGCATGGTAGCAACTGCAGCAGAGAAAACCAAGTGCATGGGGAGGGTGGTCGATAGACTTGGCTTCTAAGGCTGGCACTAAGACAGCAGCAGGATTGCAGCCTAGTGTTCTTCTCCAGTTGCCCCCCGTAAGAAACCCAAACCACTCTGGGTCCATCTGTACAGGGCACCACCTTGGGCACCAATGGGGGAAATTAACTTTTTAAAAAGATCCATGACAGGTGGGCAGAGGCAGCATCCCTTGTCTTCCTCAGGAGTGTGACAGCTGACCACACAAGCCAACCCTGATCATACCCACCAGTTCCAGGCCCAGGCCTGTGGGATGACAGCAATGTGCAACAACGTGTGAGATGTGGTCACAACTCACCAAGGGGCCCAACTTTGTAAAGACCAAGGTTTCAATGTGGATGGCAAAATCACCATTTTAAATATGTACCACAGTGGTGTCTGCCATGGACTGAATGTTTGTGTCCCCCCCAAAATCCACAGTGAAGCCCTGATCCCCAGTGTGATGGCATCTGGAGGTGGGTCCTTTGGGAGGTAATTGGGTGATGAGGATGGATCCCTGATGAATGAGGTCAGTGCCTTTATAAGACATGACAGAGATGATTCACTATCCACCATATGAGGACACAGCCAGAAGGTGGCTATCTACAAGCCATGAAGTGAGTCCTCACCAGGAAGTCAGCACCTTGATGTTGGACTTCCCAGCCTCCAGAACTGTGAGAAGCAAATGTTTGCTGTTTAAGCCACCCAGGCTACAGTATTCTGTGACAGTAGCCTGAACTAAGAGTCATTCGGAAATTTTTGAAAGAACTCCGAATTCTGATGTTACTTTTTCTTTTCTGTATTTCTTGGGAGGATATCTTGGAATCATAGAAACACATTTTTAAAATTTAGTTCCCCACCCCCACCCTAGGAAAGAATGAATTTAGGAATACTCCACCAAATGTTTTCTTTTTTTGGTAAACAGGTGAAGGTATCTAGCTATTCCTTTGTCTCAAACTACTGCATTTTTTTCAAGCTCCTATGAAATGGCCATAATTAATTAACCCTCCAGTTCATACTCAAGGTAACCAAGCCTGGGGCTATCCTGGTTTTGGTACTGAAAGTCCCGTGACCTGGAAAACCCCTCCATCCTATGCAAAATGGGATGGCTGTTCACGTCCTACTGGCACTTATCTTCCAGGCTGTGATGATGTTTTTGCCACAAACCGTCCAGTCTATATTTGAATACAAGCCCACGGGTTTACGCTATGTCTGCCATGTTTTGTAGATCTGTGCTAACAATATTGAGTTCTGAGGAGTTAGAGAAATGGAACATTTCATATTCACTCTCCCGAATAATTCTGTGCTACCATAAAAACATGACTGTAAACACACAGATGCTTTTAATTAGAGTTTAAAAGAAACCACACCAAAATCTACTGGAAAACAATTCATTCTCTTTAGGAACAATATGGTTTTTTCCCCCTCAGATTTTTATTTTTACACATTCTTGTGACATTTCCCTTTGTTGGGAACAGGAAGTTAGCAAAACCAGCTTCTTAGATGATTTCATTCTAAATATACAACTTAATATCAAAGCAACCATTGGGAAGTTGAAAACGTTAGATGAATATTGTTTTATCTCAACAACAATAAATAGGAAGACTGGTTGTGTCCACACCCCGTCCAACCACAAAGTTGATTTCTCTGTCTCCAAAGTGACTGTTTTTAAAGAACACGGAGCTTTGGGGTGACCTGTCCCAATGTCAAGGGCACACCCTGCTCCTTGGTGATCCAGAGACTTAATAACCAACCACAGTTTACAATTCCATGGTAAATACTTCTAGTAAGATACTTCTTGAAGACATCCATTACAACTTGGAGATGATAACTAAGATGTAAGATATATTTATTTTCCAAAAGTAAATAGAAGTGGGACACTAATAATCTGTTCACATCGGCATCCATTTACAAGGTCACGAGCTAGGATAGTGACATCAAAGTAAGCCACTTAGACTAACAGACTCCTCATCGTCAGTCTGTCTTGCCATCAAAGAGGAGGCTGTCACCTTGACCAATAAATCACTTATATGAATATCATTACAAATTACAGCTAAAATAAGATCAGAACATCTTTGACTGTTTTAGAAATGACAAGTCTGGGCAGTCACCTGCAGTCTAACAATCACTAGTTCATTTGGCAGATGAACAGGAAAGGTTTAAACCTGCAATTCAAATCAACTTTTTCTTTAAAAAAACCCTGATTCACAGTGTTTTTAAAACAGATCGTCTTGAAAGCTATGCTGCATTTCTCCTCCACTTATCAACTAAGAAAACTCACTCTCCCTAAACTACCTGCTGTAGCCATTACCGGGACCAAGAGCCATGCACCTTGGGGGTCTGAGGGCCACTATGTGAAACCCAGAGGGAAGGCCCTCCAATGCCGTACCCCTGCCCCAACATCATAACCTACCTCAGGGTAGCATGACCTCAAATCCTCATTCCTCAGTGTGCTACAGTCCGTTCTGTGACACCATGTTACAGGAAGGACAGTTCAGACACAACGTGAAGGAAACTAGTCTGGACTAAAATAACGCTGTGCTGCTAGAGATGCTATCTTTATGTGATGCTACACAACCTTTAAAGATGGAAGCTCTAAAAACAAGACCCTTTTGTAAAATAAAGTGGATTCAACAGAACACACTCATCCTAATATCCTAAACTAGGTGCTGTACATCTGCAGGTCCACACTCTGTGGCCTGTGAGAGCGGGGGCCTTTGTCATCCTGCAGGGCCCGTCCTGGGGGCCTCAGTGCAGGGCTGCGGGGGAGGCGCTCTGTTCCTTCCCATCTTACTCTACTTACTGTGTTGTATTATTCGTTTCCCCGGACAAAACACCCCACTGTCTGGTTTTTGTTGAAAGTGCATAAATCCGTGAGTTTGGCGTGTAGTTGTCACTTTCATCTTTCATTCTTTGAGCTCAGAAAGCCTACCACCACGCGAGTGGGTTGAGAACAGCTTCTTTGGGAGGCACAGTCCACCTTGCGTTTCCCACTTTCCTGGGCACGACCAACTTGCTGGTCCAGCTGGAGTCTGAGCATCAACATTCTCTTCATTGTCTTCGGGGTCTACCTCCCACCAGTGAAATGAAATGTTTTGGTGCTAAGGGCTAAGGTGCAGAAGAGCTCGAGTATATAAACTCAGATAGGAGCCAGCTACTCCAGAACTTAGGTTATAACAAAAAAGAGTATTCAGACTGGGCGCTACTCAACGACTTAGTGCCGCAAAAAAAAAAAGAAACAGTAATGTAAGCAATTCCCAATAATCATTTCCCCTACCCGTGGATCCAGGGCAGGGAACGTGTGCAAACACAGCAAGTATGTTGACCTGAAATATGCAATGGACTACAACTGTCCTCTCCATACATAAAGTATTATATTTTTAAAAGGTTTGCACACAGAAAGCAATTCATTCGTCTTGCAATGAATTTAACTCTGTAAGTAACTTTGTACTAAAGATGAAATCATTGAGCAGATTTTTTTTTAACATAAGCAGTCTTCTTATTTCCTATGGTTTCTTTTTGAAAAGATTTTGGAAAGAGAAAAATGTATTTATTTTTTCCTAAAGATGTTAGTTTATTAATTCATATTAGCACATGCAAACAAAATCTACTCTTAAATATATTACTTTAATCTGGTTAATGTTTAGGCACCTTGTCTATAGATAACTAATTATAGTTTCAAACAAACGCAAGCCATGTCCATGAACAGGTGCAAAACTGGTAGAAATCATCTCCAGAAGTGAAGAGAAAACTCCAGAAAAAGGAACTTTAAGACTAAAAAGAAGTGTTTTGTAAAAGATCCCACTCAAAAATAAAATTCCAATGCCTTTTAAGGCATGAATTAATTTGAAACCTTTACAGATTATAGTAAATTGACACTGCCTGGAGTACTCTTTAAAGAAAGCATAAAAGGGGAGGTTTAATGGTGAGCCTCCCCCCACCCCTCGAAATAAGTGCACGCCTTTGTATGTTGGCATGTTACTGAACAAGATGCCATTTAAGACAAAATGTATCTGCTTATCAAAACCAATGCCCATCACTCTCCTCCTCCTCCTTGTCTAGGTACAGGAGGGCCACTTTCTTCTCATCAGAAATCACCGACCTTTGGTCTACCATCCTCTGCAGCTGCACCGTCTTATCGAAGTCGGCCTGCTGCATGCCCTTTTCTCCAGGGGCCTGGTGTCCGTCCCCAGCAGAGGCCTGAAAGCTCACGCCAGCTGCCTGGTCATTCCTACTGTCAGCATCTCTCCAGGCACCACGGTCAGAGGCCCTGCGAGCTTCTGCCTCTGTCCCTGCCTCTGGTGTCCAGCTGGGGATCGCCTCTATGTTACTCACGTCCATCTGAAAGGTAAACGAAGTTTCTTTGGGCCCCAGGGCAATGTGCCTTGGCGCTCTGCTGCTGTCCCCTGACCCTCCTAGCTCAGGGGAGTCTGCTGAAGCAGCAAGCACAAACGCTTTGGACACGGGTCCACGGATAACACTGTGCTCAGAGGTTCTGGTTTCTGTGGGACCTAGCTGAATGTGCCTAAGGGATCTGCTAATGCCTGGTGTTCCTTCTGCACCCAGCGTGTCCCCTTCACTATCCTCCTGAGGAGATTCAGAATAGACCCTTTGGAAGGTGCTCTTTTCAGTCATGAGGATTCTTCCACCCACGGCATAACTACGAGTGGCCTGCGTCACATCTGCTGAGCCCTGTGTGTGGACAACGCTTTCTGAGTCACTACCCTCCACAGGTTGAGGAACTGGCCCATGGTAAACTATCTGCTCAGAGGTTTCATGTCTCCGAGGCCCGATGTTGATGTGCCTGACAGATGCGCTGCTCCCTGGTGACTCTTCAGTGTGAAGAGAATCTCCTCTGACACCCCACTCCAGTTCATCTGAAAGGGGGGCTGTGAACTGGATTTGCTCACTGAACCCTTCCTTAGGACCTAACTGAAGATGCCTTACAGAAGTCTGGGTACCCAGTGACTTTTCTGTTGCAAAATAACCACCACCATTCCCTGCCCCAGAAAGGGGACCCCGAAACATAATTTCCTTTTCAGCATGAAACTGCTTGGAGCCAAATGTGCTGGGCCTCCCCGATCTGTCAGTATCTGTGGAAAGCTCTGCCGGGCCAGGCTCTTCTGTGTCCCTTGCCTCCAGACATGCAGGGGCAGGGCCTCTGAAGACGACTTCCTGGGACACTTGACTTTGATCAGCACCCAAAGTCACGTGCCGCACAGACCAGCTGGCTCCGACCGGGCTCGCTGCCTGACTTAGGTTGCCTTCCCCACTTACCTCCACCACCTCCGCAGTGGGTCCTTCGTAGGAGACTTGCTCAGTCCTCCAGATTTCAGTGGGGCCTAGTCTAATGTGCCTTACAGACTGGCTCATGTCCTCCTGCACATGCGACTGGACGAAGCCCCCTGGGCTGCTGACTTCCACGGTGGCTGACACAGGGCCCTGGGAAGTGAGCTGTTCCGTGCTGCAGGAGGCCTGGCTGGTGTCGTCCCCTTCACCAGAGGGGCTGTACAGTTCCCTGGTGGCCCAGCGCTTGAAGCGACTACCGGTGACCAGGGTCTCGGCTCCGTCTTCCCCGTCCGGGCTTCCAGGTGCTTGGCCCTGACGCTTGGTCAAACCATCCCGCACCACCGACTCCACGGCCTTCTCAATCTCACTGGCTTCATCTCTGCTCAGTTCCTCCAGGTCTAACTGGTCGGCATCCACAGTTTGTGAGAGGTTGACCTCAGCAACTAAGGTGACAGAATCACCACCCGGGGTCTGGACTTTCTTGACGTCAACAGAAACGCTGCCAGGCTCATCCTCCCCGTCCCTGGTGAGGGCGGCCAGCTCCTCCTTCACGCCCTCGGGAAGGGTTTCCTCCAGCTGCCCGATCACCTCCACCAGCTGGTGCCGGGGCTCCTTGGAGAAGACGCCCTTAATGGAGGTGTGCAACTCATGCGGTATTTTAATTTCTTTTTCAATGACTGTGGGTTCAGCATGAAATTCACCACTGCTAACTTGTTCTATCCAGTGCGTGGGACCCACGTCCCCTTCCAGAGAGGGTTCTGGAACATCCAGGGGCTTCACAACCTGCTCTCCCAGTGCATCATCCCTCTTTCTTCTTCTCCAAGTCCCCTGCACGATTTCATCTTGCCAAGAGTACCTGATGGTGGACTCTTCCTCAATGTGAACCTGCCCGTACACCGAGCCCTCGTCCCCATCCCCATCATGCCCCCCGGGGTGCTCATCTGGGGTCGACACAAAATAACTCTGCTCTCCCTCCGAGTCACCTGCTTCTGTCACCTCTTCAACGTGAGTTATATTCTCCCGGGGCTGCTCGGTCCTCTCATGTTGATGAACAGAGAACGTGACATCGGTCTCCCCGTAACTTTCCTCCTCCTCAACGAGCCCCTTGGGGCCGGGAGACACGTCATCAACCTCCTCCACTTCGAATGGGGTCGGCAGCTCCTCTGACTTCTCACCACCCACGTAGCTCACGGGCTCCTCGACGATCTCCACGTTGACAACCCTGGCCCTCCCCTCCTTTCCCTTCAGCCCCAGGTTGATGACATCTCCTGTCACCTGCTCCGCCGGCCTTCCCTTCAGCCCCACCTCCTTAACATCCTTGCTTAAAAGGTAGTCCAGGCCAGCTTCACCTGAAATGTCGACATCTGCTGTCAGCTTAGACTCCACGACGATTTCAGTCTTTGTTTTCCTGTCACCAGGAAGCTCCTTCCTGCCCACGTAAGTGACTTTCGTGTCAGGAAAAGAATTAGCAGATGCTTCCATATCAGGAGACTGGGTAAATTGCTTAAGGATGCTGGTGACAATGTTTTCTGCTATGGTTTCTGTCATGGAATCGTCCTGTGGAGAGCTGGCCGTGTCACTGGTGCTCAGCCTGACCCCTGCCGCTCTTGCTCCCGCCTCTCCACCCGCACCCCCACCAGCATCCTTCCCAGCGGGCGTCTGTGAACCTTTTGGGGTCACCTCCGCTCTGCTGTCCTGGGATGGCTCTAGACTAATTGGTATGTCCCTTTCTCTCACGCTTTCCTCCTTCGCCGACCCCTTCCCTTTGGCCTTGTCCCTCATGTGCTGGCTTTCTCTCGCTCTCGCTTCCTTGTCCAACTTTGTCAGCTCCTCCCACCGCAAGTTTCTTTCCTCTGAAGCCTTCTCTTTAGAATCGAACATTTTCTCTTCGTGCTTCGTTCTGATGGTTCCTGTCCTGTTTCTTTCTTGCTCTCTTGTGGCTTTTGCTTCTGTTTTCTTTTCCAAAATGACAGTCCTCTCATCTGACCAAGTGCTCTCAGAAGCACCTGCCACCACATTGTCGCGGCGTTCTCGGGATGACCCGTGGGCAACTGTGGAATCTCTGGCTAAATAAGTGGGTACACCCCTTGTAACTTCGGTATTTGGTCTATCGGGGAATGTTTTCACTTGAGCTTCAGTATCTCTTGAAAAGCCATAAGTCGGAGAGAAAGTTCTGAAATTGGCTTCCCTGTTGAAAGTTTTTTCGTAAGAGTTTTCCTGCTGGGTTGTGGCCAAGGAAGAATATCCTGAGCCCAGGAAGCCTCTCCCGGTAGCACTTCTGATAGACGTGGGTCTCCGAGACCCAAGGTGCCCCGACAGGTTAGAGTGCAGCGCCGGGCTGTGATTTACACTCGCCAAAGGTGCTTTCTGCCTTGGAAATAGATTTCTTTCATTTTTCCTCTGTAATACTGAGTCGGTATATTGACAGGATATGTTTCTGAGCTCTGTAGAAATTGAACAAACAGTTCATTAAAATGACAAACATCCTTTCCTTTTTTCATCGTAAAAGCACTGTTGCGGGCCAAATCCCACCTCATTATAATAAACATACGCTATTATCACATGAAGGGCATTATAAATATTTTCAGTACCCAAATTATATTTTTGGTAGTTTTAAAAATTCTGTTACAATAAAAGATAGCACTACAAATACTTCAGGCCAACACTTTTCTCCAATTACTGATATTAAAAAATATTTACTCATCCGCACAAAAATATCAAACGAGTGATCACAAAGCACAGCACAAGAGGTCAGAGGTGCTAGTTTTTGTGGCTGAAATTTCACAATATTATGATATTTAAGAATCATTAATTTCCACTTTGTCAAGATAAGTTTATTTTACTCACTTTAGCCAAGAAGAGCTCTATAATTACAAAGTATATAACTATTAAACACCAAATAGCATTACCCCCCCACCACCACCATTTAATATGCTTTTACTTTTTACTGATTTCCATGGTGGGCCAAGTATTGAAGAATTTAATTTTTTTTTAAGTGTCCTGATTTTTTCTATTTTTACACCTGACTACCTCTTCATTTGTTTTCTTTGTTTGTTTGTTTTTTTTGTTTTCTTTTTTGTCTTTTTTACTGACCAGTAACGGGATCGCAACCCTCAGCGCCGCGCCCGCGCCACGCTCAGCCAGTGAGCAGGAACCGGTCACCACATGGGATCCGAACCCTCAGCCGCGCTCCCGCCACGCTCCCAAGCGGCGCACTCTCCAGTGCGCCACCGGGCTGGCCCATGACTACCTCTTCATTTGAAAAACTGACAGTGCAGAAAGCAGACTAGCTGCCAACATTGTCTTAATGTCATGATCCTGGAGTTTGAGGGCATCCTTGGGGCTTCCGGCTTTGCTCTAGACCACCCACAGAGAGTGCTATCCTGTGGGGTTTGCAAATTCCACCGGGGTTAACATGCTCCTAGACGTCCCCCAGAGCTGGGACACAGTCTTCTCTCCCCTTTGTCTCTCTCATAGCAGCCAAGGCCAGAGGCCTTCTTCAGACAGATCCCAAGATACAGGAAAAGGATCAAGCCAGGACATATTCCACAGAGATTCCTCTTTTCAGGTCAACATACTGATCCTAAACTGAGAAGTCCCAGAAGATGAACCCCCAGGAAACAGTGCAGGAATCACCTGATTTTCAATTAAGGTTCAACAAGAAATACAGAAGATCACAGGCTGGTTTTAGGTCTATAATCTTGTGGGCAAGTGGCCAACATTATTTTATGCAATATTACAAAAGAAACGTAAGCTCACTAATAAGTATTGGTACATTCACAATCTAGGAACTTACCTGTACATTTATTCAACAGTTAGTTGATAGACACCTATAATGTACAGGGCACAGAACTATTTGGAAGCTCAAAGTGTAATAAAAGAATTCACAATTAGTAATCTTTATTCTAAAGCTTACTTTCTTTTGGCATAATATGTACTTACTAAAATAAATTTAGTTTACAAATATTAAATCACTACATCCTTCAAGAAGCTTAAAAAACAATGAATAAATAAAACAAGTTAACAGAGACACCCACTGTCCCTCTTCCTGAGCTCTTCCTGGGTTCCAAAATCACAACTAGTAAAATATCAGCCAGTTCCTGACTTAGAATGTTGGTCCTCTTTGGAGGTTGGTCCTGGGGGCCCTTTTTGCTCTCTCCCCTGTCTCTAGGTTATGTGATGGATTTCCAGACTTATGCATCCATCTGTAAAGAATTTAGGGGATGAAGCAAACTTTGAAATCTAGTGAATGAATAATTCTTACTGTATACACGTCAAATATTAACTGATACCTGGCAGACTGATTAGTGGCCACTTCCTTTGCTTTTTTCAAACTTACTTTCAAAATTAGAACAGTTCAGACAGAAAGCATTTTATAGTTAAATAATTAGCTCTTCTTATATGTACCTTGGGGCACGTTCTCAATGTACTCAGTCCAGATCAGTATCTCCGGATTACTTTCTCCTTCCAGTAAGGCCCTGTAAAAATAATTTAAAACAAAACAAAACAAAATTCATTAGGAAATAAAAGAGCAAGAAGGGCCTCTAACAAAATGTATTATGTAGTGTTTGGTCAACGACCACATTGTCACTGTGCCGTATGTTCTAGGACTCATGTCTGAAGATGTGGCTGGGGCAGGGGCTGCACCTGAGGGGAGCCAGCCCACCCGTCACCCTCAGCAGACCTGGGCAGGGCCACACTGTGTGTCCTGGCACCCAGCACAGTGCCTGCCACCTGACAGATGCTCAGCAGATGCTGGCCGCATGAAAACAAGAGTGGGCTAGGGCTTCAGGGATACTGACAGCCGAGCCCTCCTAGAAAGCCTTCCCAACCCAGGGCACAGAGGAGCACGACAAGGTGGTGCTGGAGAGAGCAGGCCCCGCAGGGGAGGTCAGAGTCTGGCTTCTCTGGGAAGTGGGGTGGGGCCCACATATGGCACATACCCCAGGGCTAGAGGGCCCTGGAAAAATGACAACCCCCACAAGGGGTGGGGGGCAATTGCCTGGAGCAGAGCAAGCTGGCACTTGTTTGTAAATAAGGCAGCTGGACTACTCTGGTTTTCAGACTGGGTTCCATGGGGACATCTTGGAGATGGGGAAGGAGGAAAGCCAGAAGGTGGGCAGGTGGGAAGGAAGAGGAAGAGCTGCAGACCCCCCACTACCACACTCCCAGGCCTCGCTTCATCCAGAGTCACATCCCATCATCTCGTTAATAAAACGGTGGAAAAGTACCCAAGTAGGTGAGTTCTTTGGCTATGTCTAGCCCCATAACTCTACAATTATAGCCTTCACTAAGTCCTCATTCCCGCCTAGCACTGCAGACCCTGGCGTTGAGGGTGTTGGCCTCACGGCCCCAGCATGACGGTGGGAGTCAGCGCCAGGATGCCCGTCACCTCACAGAGACCCCCGCAGCTGAGGGTGGCTGTCGACCTGACATTGTTGAGTTGCTAGAGCAACGCGTGAAGTCACCAACTCCAGACCCAAAAAACACACTGGATATGGCAAAGGGCAACCAGACCCAGAGCCCACTTGGAAACACTGACACCACTACTGAGAGCTGGGCACGAAAAGAGAGGAGGGTGTGCAGATCTGAGCAGGGACTTGGCAGTTTGGGCAAACCATGCCAAGTTTTCTCTCCACTGATTTAAACGTGGTGATCCCCACAAATGTGAGAAGCCAGTGGGCAGCTGGAAGGAAGCAAAGGAGGCCAGAGGGACTGCACTCGAGGTGTACATGGCAGGCTTGCCCGGGAGCAGTAACCCGGGGCCCCAGCCCTTCCACTCAGGGAGAAAGCCAGGAAACAGGACACCAGCCCATTAATCCCACGCCCTCATGACAAGGCATTTTAGGTTCCAGGAACACAACAGCTTCCACCACCGAGAAGAATCTGAGTGTATAATATGAGGAGCACTCAGGGTAAAAGCTAGACTCCATGTCTGCACCCCAGGATGGCAGGAGCAGAGTTGTGTCCTACAGCTAAGGGGGCCAGAGCAGGGCTTAGGGAGATGGGCCACGTTCCAGTTCAGATGCTTCCTCGGCCTGTTCAGCAGCAAGCCTCGGGTGCCACGGGGCCCGAGTCAGGACAGAAGGTGCCTGTGAGGAGCCCAGGTCAGCAGAAGACATGAATGACAGGTCTGGGGGTGGGGGGCTCAGGATGAAGGAGATCCATGCCCTTGGGGGACAAATACGTCTCCTCTCCCACCTCAAAGAAGAATGGTTCTGTTCCTCCTTCAGGGGAAATCCAAAGTGCCACCAAACTCTTACTGAGTTCGGGACCCTGAGTGGTGCTATGGACTGCACGAGGCACCCACCCTCTGTGACTTGTGGTCTAGCACTGGGGACAAGACACAGTACCAGACCTCCCACGCCCAGGGCCCTCAGCAGCCCTGGCTAAGGCTGAGCACCGAGCGAGCGCTGTTACAACCCTCCCATCTATTCACTGGTGTGGCCCTAGTTGCCTGGCTCAAGGCCTCTGGTCAGCGTCCTAGCTCTTGGTGACAGGACTGGTGCACAGACACACTGTCTTGGCCCAGAGCACACAGCTCGCCAGCAGAAAAGTATGCTGCGAACTCAGGTGGCCTGTGCTCTCTACCCTCCCCTGTGAGGCCAGAGACCAGGTATTTCATACAAATTTCAGAAAGCGCAAACCCTGCAGACAGACCCTCCAGGTCTTATTAATGAAAGTCAATTCAACATCTCTTGGTGACTTCATTCAAGATGCCCCTAAAGGGCTCTCCTGTAAGAGCAGGAGAAAAGAGTACTCTCCTATAAGAGTGCGGGGAAGAGCTCAATCCCTTATCTGTGTCCCCCCATCAATGGCTGGCTCCCAGAAGGCAGTGTACGTATCACCTTCTCCACTCAAGCACCCAGCACAGGGCCCTAGATGCACAGCTGGACACCGATCACTTAATTCATGCCTCAGGAGCATAGTTCAACGGCAGACACAGCATCCTGCCATCCGTAACTCAGCTGACATAGCCAGACGAACTGTCCAGGCTAGCACAGCAAAGGCACAGACAAAACCATTGACGGGGGCCAGAAACGTGCCATTTCCTCCAAGCTCTTCAAGGAACATTCTGAAGGAACACCCATACAGCTTTAAGAGCTGGGCAGCGCGCTCCCCGAGGCTGCAGTTAAAGCTGGTTATTTTGAGAGCGGTGGAGGAAAGCTGCCTCCAAGGCTGGGACTGGGAGAAATGCCGAGCCCCTGACTCACGGGCTATTAGTGAGCCCTTCAGCCAGCTCCACGGCTCGGCGGCCCCCAAGCAGGAAGACAAGCAAACATGTGGAGGAAAACCCAAGCCCTGGGCCTCCTCTGGGAGCCCAACACAAACCCTGAGGAAGTGAGCTGCGATGTGGCCCTGGCCAGGCTCCAGGCCCTAATGGGCCACCAGCGTCCTACCCAGGCCCGCAGCAGGGCTCTGTGTGGCACAGATTATCCTGATGGAATTTCAGGGCATGTCGCTGTTACTCAGCACTGTGGGTGCAATGCCGCCCCCGAAATGAGGCCGAGAGGGAGAAAGGAGGGGCAGTTGGGAGATGTTTCCAGAAGCCACACCTGCGGGGGCCTGCCTCGTCCTGGGCTCTGCGGAGGGCTCATGGCAGGAAAGATGCCCTAGGACGGCATCCCTTGGTGACCTAGCTCCACAGAGGGTGGGGACAGCCCACGCCACTAGGTCACTGGGAAGGAAGGGAGGGGCGGAGGGGGACAGGCCAGATTCTACCCACACAGGAGCATCGCCATCTCAGCTGGAAAGGGCAAGAACAACCCCAGCTTTATGTCAAGGAGACCCGGGAGGAGAGGGCTCCGGGAATGATTTCTGGTCATTCCCTCCACGGTCACTATTAACTCCCGAAAGCCATCTCTAGGTCAACAGCAGAGACTGAGAAAAACCAGGTGATCAACAGAGAGACAAAAGGTCACTCACAAAACAGAGAGACGAAGTGCAGGGAGCGGCCAATGGAGCCAGCTCTGGAGTGAGGTGGCCCGGATTCAAATCCTGAACCTGGGCCGACACCGTGGCGCACTCGGGAGAGTGCAGTGCTGGGAGCACAGTGACGCTCCCACCGCGGGTTCGGATCCTGTATAGGGATGGCCGGTGAGCTCACAGCGCTCACTGGCTGAGCGCCGGTGCAGACACCAAGCCAAGGGTTGCGATCCCCTTACCGGTCACAAAAAAAAAAAAAGACAAATCCTGAACCTGCCACTTCCTAGTTCTATGTCCTTGGCAGGCCACCCAAACCCACTATGACTCAGTTTCCCCGATTCTGAAATGGGGGAGACTCAAAGGTTTGTGGTGGTAATTCATCAAGTAAATAAGTGGAAAGTTCTTGGAACCATGGGTGTCACAGAATAAGTGCTTAATAAATGTCATCTGTCACACCCACATCACCATCATCATCTCCTACAACTCTGAAGAAAATGAATCATCGGTTAACTAAAGCAGGTCAAGAGGGGAAAGGATTCTGGAGCACCTATATTTTATGGTTAACTAAGTGTTAATTAGTTTATTTGGCTAGCAACCAAATATATCTAATTGATCCTCTCAATTATGTATTCTTTTTTTTTTTTTTTTTTTTTTTTTTTTTTTCC